GATTACAGGCATGAGCCACCGCACCCAGCCAGTCATTTTACTTTAAGATATCCAATCACCTACAATTTAAAAGATCCCTGAAGACAATCTCTTACTTCTAAAAAATAGTTTAGATCTTGGTCTGAGTGGTAGACTTATTCTTTGTGGACCTAATTACATTATCTGCAGCCATGTGACTTCCTCAAGAAAAAATTCAGAGTGCAACTACTGCAGCTTTGACTAGGAACATTTACTCTCTTCTCCAAATCGTGGGCCACTAACCTTCTTGACATTTGTTTAGAACTCTCTGCTTTCCTCTCATGGCTAAAGTGGGTGGGTCATTCTTTAATCAGTAGCTCAGTATTTTGATATCTCAGGTGCATGTCAGGGCGTTCAACTATAAATTGCCAGTGAGCCATCTCTTGACAAAACTTGCTTGAGACAGGATATTTGAGAGATACAGTCCAGAAATCAAGTGAAATGTAAATTCCTTATTTTTTGTAAGTTTCATCCCTGTATGATTAGATCATCAGAAGCCTGTACACTTGGACTGTTGTCTCAGACTGTGTTGTTTACTGGAAAAAGGCATGTGTCAGGATTTACGCCCTAGCTATTTATGGAAAACAACTATGAAAAATGTGCATATATGATATTTCTGTGCTTTTGCTCTATTGGGATTGCAGATATTGGCTTTTACGTTACTCTGTGTCCTTTTTGAAAAGATCCACGTGATAAATTCCATTTATGATTTCAGTGTTTGTAGCCAGAAAATAGTTTTCCTTCATACAAATTTCTAGGTTTCCTTTTTATTGGGCCACGAGAAATAGGCACCTCAATGTGATTCTTTTTTATTTTGGAAAAACCAGCATTAAATTTAGAGCTCAAGGAGGGACCTAGTGAAGCTTATTTTCTTGTTCCTTTGTCATTTAATTTGTTCTTATATTTTAGAACATCTTAAGTATGTAGTTTTATTTTTTTGGAAGCAGACTTGGTATAAATTGTATATACATATATCTCCTTGTGAGTTATCTGTGTCATTCCCAGCTTTAATATATATGTTATGTCTAGAGGACATGAGATAGTCACATTTTGATCTAGATTTGGGTGACAAATTATATTACAATGGGGCCTATTATGCTTTTCCTTTAGCTTACGTTAAATCATCAGACTCAAGAGCAGTTTTATTTTTTATCTTTGGTTGATTCCAGTTCCTTGACCACAAAATGAAGACATCTTTGGTCATTGCAAGGCTGCCATCCCCCCGCTCCTCACCTTATTCCTACTGGCTCCCTCGAGCAAATCCTTCCCAACTGCCCAGCTGACCTTCCCTGTCTCCTTTGCAACTCCCTTCTCTCTGGGTTGAGTACCTCATTCTTGTTCCTTACAGCTCCATGTGGCCTGGAACTGTGGAGAGTCCTGAAACCAACTGAGGTGGATGGAAGAAGGCCAGTGCGGTTGTTATGGAAGGTGACCTCCCTCTGGGTTATTTTTCTCTCTCTTTCTTCCCCTTCCCTCCCTTCCCTCCCTTCTCTCCCTTCCCTCCCTTCTCTCCCTTCCCTCCCTTCTCTCCCTTCCCTCC